TGTTGCCAAATATTACAAGTTTTTTTTTACTATTTACCGTAAAAAGTTAACAAAAATATACGTACACTAATCCTTCATCGTTGGCCATTGCATTTATCACAGTCTTAAAGACACTGGGTGGTGAAACCATCTTAACTTTTCACATTTACCAGCTGCTTACACCTTCTTCGTCGTCCCTCTCGATCCTCCAAAAATGGCGCCTCGGGAAATTGACCAATGAAATAAAGCGCCTACAGAGCGATGCAGGATGGGAAATATAAACTGTTTACATTCACTAATAAGTCTGAATATTGAAAAAAAAAACCTATTAGTCCACCTATCCGTCGTGCATGTGAACATGCATTTACCGCGATCGGAATATTGTGTTTTGTTTTTTTTGGCCAACAATGTTGTCCAAAAAATTCCATAGTTTTTGTTTTTCGTGTTTTAACAAAATTTTATTGTTAGAAAGATTTTTTTCAGAATCTATCACTATTGATTATCTTCACATTTTCATTACGTATATATACAGACGCTATATAGAGGAAATTCGAGCATTAATTCTGACAATTTCTGTACAACATCGTGCGGATTGTAGCCAAAGTACAAAATAAAACATCTTTTAAAAACTATGCTATGCCGTTTATTAGTGCTGAAAATTTTTCGTATAACCCATTTCTTAAAAGATAATTTAAATCGTCGGATTTCCAATTACGGCAAATAGAGCCGGTTTCTGTGGACGCGGTCTTTTTTCTACAGATGACGTGGACAATATAACACTTACTTGTACAAGTAACAAACAGCAGTGAAGATAGAAAAGAAATATTTTATTATGTCAATGTTTTAATAATCTACTTCCAATTATTTTTTGAAATAAAATTCAAACATATTGGAGTTTTCTAACCCGTGTGTATACTATGCGGGTACATGAAAGAGTTTGACGCGTGACCAGGTAATTGTTTTCAAAACATGCAAACTCAGATTATTAGGAAGTACAGGTAGCTGACCTGTCAATCAAATCAGAAGCTATTGTTTTTTTAATGATTGACAGGCGGTAAATTATTGATCTTGAATCAGGTAGATTTTGAGGGCGTTAACATAAAATTGGGTGTTTAAGTGTGATTATGAGATCTTATACCAGAATTTAATTAAGTTTTCCCCTTTTCATGGAATAAAAAGAGGGGCTCCTAAATATTTTTGCCGATATGATGTGTAGGCCTAGTATATTTAGAAAAAAGTGGTTAAATACATGAGGCAAGAGCAGAAAAAAAATTGTTTCTTGCTTGACACCTCAACTTATTTGCCTTCGGGAAATGGGTTTCGGGGCTTGGTTGTTGGTAGTGGCCGTCCTTGCTGAAAGTAACCCCCCCCCCCCTCCCCGCTTCTTTTAACTGTTACATGTATGATTATGAATTTATAATGTCACACCGAAAGATGTTAAACTTTTAAAAGCACATTTTTTTTATTGTGAACTTTCCACATGAATCCTAAAAGGCATGAAAATGAGCTACAATTATAATATGATTATCAAGAACAGTTTTTTTTTATTTCAATAGTGATGATTGAAAGTTCGGTGATTAATAATTCATTGCTAATAAATTGTTGTGTTTTTTTTTAGGGGGGGGGGGATTAAATTAATAATTGAACTCCCTCCTTTTCGGGGTTTAATTAGATTTTGAGCCTGCTATCAATATTACTGGTGGACCTGCTAGACTTTTCTCTAATTGCTACATGTACATTGTACTTTAAACTCCTTGGCCTTTAGGTAAAAAAATTTCCCACATCATTTTAACACGTAAAATTGTTAAATGAATCAGAATGTTGAAAACCTTTTTCTTAGGAGAATTATCTCTAGGTTGAACAAAACTAACATCTTATCAAAGGCAGGAAAATTTAACAGTATTTTAATTCAGTATTTAGTCGTGATTGGTATAAGTGAAGTCATGAGAAAGATTATGTCGAAAGTCATATATACTCGTTGATGTGCAGGACTGTACTTATGCATGCAGCTTTAGCTGGTCCCGCCCTGTATTTCTTTAATGTTTTTTTTTCGTGAAGAAATCTGGTAAGGTATGTTAGTAAAAATAAAATCCCGGTTAGTTTATTACTCTAACGGAAATTACTTTCCTACAGGCCTGAAGATCGAGTCTATTAGTCACGCAAGTTTTTTTTAAAAAAGAGTAGCATGTCGGCGAATAAAAATAAAGTAGTGTACAACATGGATAAAGAAATGTTTGTTGAAGTATTGACAAACTTCATACCTTTATAGAATGAAATCAACAAAAACTGCACAAAAATACAATCGTGACAATTATACAATGAATTAATTTTACAATTAATTCTTTTAATAGATTGCCTTAGCATGTACTACTTTAAAAGCCATTGTTCTTAAGGAAAACAAAATCATGCAAAATATTATAGACTTTTCTTTATCTAGAGCAATGGCCTTTGGGGAAAAAAAAATGGCTGAAAATTTTAAAGTTTGTTAAATATAATGTATGTGCATTTAGGACCCTACATTGTAATTTCATGCGAAAAGTGCAGGCGTTTACTACACGGGGATCTGCGTACATACTTAAACAAAAAAAAGGAAAGAAAAAAAAAAACGTTTTGTGTGATGAATTATATTATAAACATTTATCTAATAAATGTCTTTGTAGTACGTTAGATTACAAATTTCACACAAAAACCCATCAACAATATTAAATACAGTTTTGATTTCACATTGATCTATTAACGTCATTCTGATTTAATATAATTATACACGACGAGAATTAAGATCTATTCAATACCTATAGAAAATTATTTAATTTCTAAAGAGGATAGTTTTATTTTAAATCAGTAATGAAAATTGAAAAAAAAATTCTAAATAGTTTGTTCTTTCATTGAACTTCTTAAATGAAGGTTATTTTATAAATATGTTCTCTTGTATAACTTTATTTATAGAATATACAATTTTTTAAATGATAAAAGAAACACGAATCATCATCTTAATTCAAAGGAATTTTCGGTCGGAGACTGTGTGTGTACATGCTCGACAACAGCCCATTGTTCCCTTTAGGTACAAAACCGTCTCAATTCACATAGAATATACAAAAAATACACAGTGACAGGACTGGTGTCTTCGCGGCACGTGTCTCCACCTGAAATGGCACGTAAGGACAGGTGTCCCTAATTACACAGGCCGACCATAGTGGCTTTTTCAAAAGCGTTTTTTTTTTTTGGGGGGGGGGGCTTCTTAATGAAAAAATGAAAAGCAACCCACCCACCCTCAATAATAAAAATGATAATTTAATGAATTTAAAAAAAACAATATTCACTATTAATAGTAAAATACTAGTATGATAATACTCAACCCCAGCCAATTCGATGAATGATTCTTATCTGACCAGTTTAATTTAATGTATTAATTCATATTAAAACAAAATCTTTATCACTTTCTAAACTTGTATTTAAAAACTTGAAACACTAAAAATGTAATTTTGACAAACCAACGGAAGTATTTTTTTCCTGACGGATTATATAAGAAATGCCAACCTCTGGTATCTAACACAAATGCCTGGTAAGCTTAGTACCTTGATGTCTTGTGAATACATGTAATTATGTATACGTAAAAATAATTCTTCAATGTCAATTGCAAAATATTGGAAAAAAAATTAATTTTTTTATTGAGGAACGTCTCACTTGTCCTTAATCAGTAATCGGAACTTGACATATTTCTTTATTTACTTTTTAATCGATCTTTTTAGTAAACCTTTTCTGTAAATAATTTCATTAAATGTACCCTTCCTTAGCTCTTCCATTTTTTCAAAGGAACATTCATCATAGACAGCTTCAAGAAAGTGGGATCGGAAATGATTGATTTCTACATAACTGCATGCACTTACTTTTTTTCTATTCCACTTCACGCATTCTATACGAGTTTACCAAAACTTATGTGATAAATCAAATTCAAAATTAAATTAAATTAAATAAAATTCCGTTAAATAAAATTGAATTAAAATTGAATTGCGTTCACGGTGCTGAAATATTAAATTAATCACACAGAAATACACATCTAGTTATTTTAACTGTTTGAAGTTAATTATTTTGATACAGCATGTAAACACTTTTGAAATATTTCTATAATTGGTAAAAATATGGTAACATAATTAAATATTTGACTTTTTGTAAAATAAAAGGTAGGTGGTTAGTATTGAGATATACTTTCAAAGTTTCCCTGCCTGGGAAACATGGGGAAAACTACACATTGGTGGCTTCCATTTCGGGAATCTGTATGGAAACCACTGAGGCATATTTACATGGTTTCCTATCTTGGGAAACTTACGGGAAACCACAGGTTGGTTGTTTCCATATCGGGAATCTACATGGAAACCACCGGGGCATTTTTCCATGGTTTTCTATCTTGGGAAACTTACGGGAAACCACAGGTTGATTGTTTCCATGTCGGGAATCTATGTGGAAACCACCGGGGTATGTTTCCATGGTTTCCTATCTAGGGAAACTTACGGGAAACCACAGGTTGATTGTTTCCATGTCAGGAATCTATGTGGAAACCACTATGTGGTTTCCATAAAATGGAAACTATATGGAAACTACTGATGTCACGATTCCCATATGTTTCCATCGGGTTTCCAAATTTGGGAAACCTGGCTTTTCATCCTGTGAAGAAGATCGATTGAAAAAAAAATCAGACATTTTTACTTTAATGCCTTGTTCAGAGTTTGATTCAAATTAAACGTAAATTATTGCAAATTCGGAGAATTTAATGCACATTAGTTGAATTCCAATTAATTTACTGCAAATTAAACGATCCGTGTGAACAGAGCATACATATAAGTGTTCTGTCTATTTTGTTTCTAGAATGTGATGAACTTTCCAATCGTATGCCCATGCACACTCTAATAAGTCAGACGACATCAAGTAGATAATAGTGTACATCCTGACTCCTATATTATTATTCGTCCTTTGTTAAGTGCCACAATTGTGGTATTATTATGTTTCCTTTTTTTTATTTTACGTATGGTGCATCACCAATCTTTGAACTTTGAAACGTTTAAAACTAAACAAGAAACAGCAAAATGTAAATGTTCAGAACGACTTCAATTATAAACGGTAAGTGAAGGATAAATCAAATTGTAAAATATAATTTAATACACTAAGTAAGCAGTTTAGCATAAATGTATGGAAAAAAAACTTACATTTACGTTTGAATCTAATTCATTTGTCAATCTATTGTATTATTGTCTCATTTAATCATAGGATTTTTGCCAATGAAAGGTCGATTAAATGTTCATCAGTTATACACATACTTAAGCGCATTTTATATTTTCGTTGGGTCAAATTTTCGTGGATTGAAGAAAATCTACAGGTTTGTGGGGATTTGATTTCGTGGATGAAGATGTGTTGAAAAATCATGTATATGATATTTTACTTTTCGTGGTGGACATGAATTGTGGGTCTCTTCATACCTCAAAATCAACGAAAATTAAAGCAACACAAAAATTAGTGATTTTACAGTTCTTATTGCATCTTCTCAAGCCAGGTAAAATCGTGATTTCAAATCGTTTCAGGTTATGGCTGAAATATTGGCTGTCATTTTCCTCTTGTCACAGCTACAAATAAGTGTCTCCCAAAGTCTGGATACGAGAATCGGCGATGGTAAATGTGCACAGGGTGGATTGGAAGATTCTATGCTGTCATTAAAAATGTATATAGACTCCCAACTACAAGAGTTGGAGCAAAAAGGTCTTTGAAATTACCTTGACACATACGTTGTACTTTAAAATATTAGATACACGAATAATTATTGTTTTCCAAGTAAAACTGAAATCCATTTCCGAGAAAAACGTTTAGTTATTTATATATTCAACGATTAATAAATTTGTCATGATTACGTAATATTGTTCATGTTGTTTTCATGTGATAAACGTTACTGAGTACGGAATAATTAGATTTTTAAATACCTTTTTCTACTTTTAGTGAAAAAAAGAACACAGAGAGAGATTGCAAAATCTTCAAACACAGATAAACAACTTAAAAGGTCTGTGTTTCAAAGTATTAAAAAAATGCACTACTTTCAATGCTTTTATGACAATTACGTATTTAATACGCTTTCATTCTACGAGGGTTGTCCCGTAAAATCGTGGACAAGTTGTCTAGTTTGAAAAGTAACCTTCACTGCGTTCTGAAAATTTCACTACTCTTTAAAACATATATTATGAATATACAGAGCAAATTTCAAATAGATACATGCATAAATAAACCAATTATTATATTTTATGTTATGTATTGTTTCGCCCTACGGCGCACGGATGATAACGTCAAAGCGTCAAAACAAGCGTCACGTTTCATCTTTGCTTAAAATAAAGTTGGATAAGTCCCACTTAAATTTAGAAATTCCATTGATTTACATACATGAGTGTCTATATCCAGTCAAAGTACTAATCTGGCACATACATGCAATCTTCTAAAGATTTATTATGAAGTTACGGACAGTATTCTCACCATCAGTCAACCAACAGACAATCTCATATCAAGGGGCGACAGTTACGTCGTCTTTTGCTATTTCAATAGCAGTTTGTCCGTATATTTTGTACTACCTGGGGACTCAATCAAAAAGACTTTGCTTAGAAAACTTGTATACTAAAGATCTGGTGATATTTGTCATATTTTCTTTCTGCTGTATTCATTTAAAGTCTCTTAAAGTGTCATCACAACATCCTAATTTAACGGAACTGCTCTCCGTGCGCCGTAACGTCATCAACAATCGCTATTTTTTCGTGTGCTGTAGGTACCACTTTCCCATTTCGAATGCTCGGGAAATTGTCAAAAATTAACCAATTGCCTTGAAATTTTAAGAAAGACGACAAACTTGATTAAAGAATCGAAATATGATAATTTTCATCCCAATCTTATGTATTGAAAACTTTTATTACGAATTAATTCTTGTTTAATCTATAATAAAACCTTGCTATTTTTACCGTGCACCGTAGGACCGTACCCTATGCACATTCAAGCATAATAAAATCTTTATTTTTGTCTATATATTATCAAAAACATAATGATGCACTTAAATATGATGAATAAACATTTACTGAAAATTTCAGCTTGGTGTGCCCATTACTTTTCAAGAAAAACGCTTTGTCCACGATTTTACGGGACAACCCTCGTATTAATATTAAATCCCAAGTTTACGTCACAATTTGTTTCAAGATTGTCCGAAAGGATGGGATAAGCATGGGACTTCGTGCTACATGCTAAACACACAGAAGTTTTCATGGGAACAGGCAAATGTAAGGAACATAAAGTAAAACATATCTTATACATATAATGACTTGCTATTATCATTTTTGGTTTGAACATATGCAATATTATGTGAATATTTACATGTCTTTCTAGTTACAAACATTTACGGGATTTCACTCAAGGTCATAAATTGCCTTCACCCTTACAATTACTTTATTAAAAATAAGGTTTAGCCCTCTGCATGCCGGGATTCCTTTTGTAGGCGTTGCCGAGTAAGTGTGCAATATCAAACAAGACGAACATTATTATACCCCCCGCTTGAAAAGCGGTAGGGTATATAGTAATCGTTGATTCCGTCCGTCAGTCCGTCCGTCCGTCCGTCTGTTACGGTTTGGGGTACCCATCTCGTATCCGCAACTCCTCTTATACAACTGAATGAAATTTGATGAAACTTTCACAGAATCTTTATTACATATTGCAATTGTGCACCTCCTATTTTACTTTTTGATCCGACACATATTTTGGGTTTCCCATGGCAAAACATGGACACTGCCATTTATACACATATGGGAGGCGGGGGTATCATTTAGTGAGCCCATTGCTCACAGTACCTCTAGTTAACATGTACAATCATTACAGGCTAAATGTCGTGGATTTTCAGCTATGTTGGTTGAAATAGATACAATGCCCGAGAACGTCTTCGTGGCAAACACCTTAAAAAATAAAGATCCCAGTGGTGAGTTTTTATACGTTATAGCAAATAAGATTTCTTTTGAGTTACTGATATATTTCAAATTAATTGTATTTTTAACATCATATATTATATAACTTTGTGAAATCCGATAATCTGATTGGTCAATACAAAGTAATTATATTTTAATAATGACCGCTGAAAGCGAATAATGACTCGCACGAGTTGCCTCGTTTTCACTTTCGCTTTAGTCAAACAGTTTGCAAGTTGTAGGCGAGGAATATTTAAAAGATATAGTGAAGAACTCTGAAGGTGAGAATACAAAACAATTATCAAGGATATCTTTTAGCATTTTTCGGGAATACTTACTACATATACCATTTCATTGTTGAATTCGACTTTTCCACTCGGCGAGCAGATTTTTGACGCTGTTTACGCGATTACGGACTCGGAGACTAAGTAAATAAAGACAATCATGCCATGTTCGATTGTATACAGATAAATTAGCGTAGAAGACATCTATAAATGTTAATATATTGTCAGTGCATTTCCTTTGCAAGTGTAAATGAGTGCGATTCTAAATCTGGGGAGGGGGTACTCTGTGTTATTTGGAGATAGATACCTTGTGTTATTATTATGCTTAGTTATAGGTTAAAATTTATTACCGAAACAAGTTCCTGTGAGTAACATTCAAAAATTCTGAAACGTTTATATTCAACTTATGTATGGTAAACACCATATCTGTAAACTTTAGGATGATATTCAAAGTACTAATACATTTGGGAAATTATTATTTATATAATATAATAAATATGGACTCAATGCACGGTCAATATGCATTTATAATGATCCAGGATGGCAGATATTAACCTCAGATACATGGGGTATATCGACCTCGGACTAGCGCCCTCGGTCGATATACTCCATGTATCTGAGGTCAATATCTGCCATCCTTTGTCATTATAAATGCATATTGACCTACATTGAGTCCATATTTGTATAGTATATATCGACTTTTCTTTAAAGGCAGATATTTTTTACTGGGTGGTAAATTCCAGGTGAGTGAGAGGCTTATTTTATGCAGGTGTGAATACCGTGGGGGTTAGCAGTCTTCCTGTGATAATCTGTCTCCTAATCTTTGGTATACACAGAAAGTGATTTAATACACAGTGAAATATCCAGATGACAAACTTTACCTGTGTTGGGGATTTTGAGACAATTTTAAATTACTAGACTAAGTATAAAGGTTTCTGAATTATATAGTAATTTATTTTTGAATGTTTTAAACCATCCCTAACCATTTAAAAAAAATTATATAATTTTAATATTTGAATTTATAGTATGATATCATATATGATATCATACTATAAATTCAAATATTAAAACGAAGATTATTTCAGATGTTAGTGTATGTGTTAATTTAAAAAAAAAAACTCATGTAACAACCAAATTAGACTTAATTCATTTATCTCCAGGATCCTATCTATTAAATAAAAAGAGAGCTGTGTTTAACTACATTTCATTAAAAAAATATCTAGGTTTATTCAAATCTTGATAAGGCTTTGTCACAATAAAACATGGTAAAAAAAAGATTGCTTGTGAATATTTAGCTGAATAAAAAGAGAAAATATAAGTGAACATTTATAGATTTTTGAATTTTTCTACTTCATATAGTGCTGGTCTGATCTTTATTAATAACATTTCCAATTTAGGTTTACCATTTAGCATATTAAAATTAATATCGAAATTTTATTCTGTTAAAAAGTTTTACGTACCAATGATTAAATTGTTTTTCAAAAAATGCTTATTATATTATTAATAATCCTTTAAAATACTGAAGTTTTATTTAATGCATAAATTATCAACAAAGAAAATTAAAAGTAAATACAGTTCCTCTACACCATGTTTGGTAAACATTAAAGGATCAAAAGTTAATTTGAATGTCCCCACGAGTCCCAAACAAGGTGTAAAAGGTATACACAGGGACCAGTAAGTAAATGTTAATCAAGTTCCAGCATCCAATAATAGACCTTCACGCACTTGATTGACAGGGCTACCCAGACCAGGTATTTTTGAAGGCGGTGCTTACAATCTCTGCCTTTAAGGTATTTTTTTCAAAACTGATTACAATTTCTACGTCGATACTTTAAACATTATTTATAGTACATGTAGTAATGCTGATGGTGAAAATGTTCAGTATATATATATCATAAACTGCATATGTCTATTAGGGTATATAGTATATGTTTGTAATGATGTAGTACTTCTTCTGTAAAAATGTCTCAAAATATGCACTCACACACTTTTTAACGATTGCATGACTATTTGACTCATACTATAATATCTATGTTTTCTTTTTATAAAGAAGTGTATTTAGACTACAATTAGAAAGTATATGTTTCATTTATCTTTTAACATGATTAATTGATTGATTGTATGTTGTTTTACGTTCCACTCAATTGGAGACGTCACCATAAACCGGTGTAGGGCTATGCACTTTAACCTTTACTCGGCACCCAGATCCATTGATCTGTGGGGGTTCTTTATCGTGCCAACGTCTACCGTGACACGAACCTCAGTTTTTAGCTCACCTGAGACAAAGGCTCAAGTGAGCTTTTCTGATCACAATTTGTCCATTGTCTGTCGTTGTCGTCGTCGTCGGCGTTGTCGTTGTCGTTGTAAACTTTTCACATTTTCATCTTCTTCTCAAGAACCACTGGGCCAATTTGAACCAAACTTTCTACAAAGAATTCTTGGGTAAAGGGGATTCAAGTTTGTTCAAATAAAGGGCCACTCCCTTTTCCAAGGGGAGATAATTATGAATGAGAGAAAAATTAATTGCATTTTAATCTTCTTCCAAAAAACCACTAAACCAGGAAAGATGAAACTCATGTGGAATCATCCTCAGGTAGTGTAGATTCAAGTTTGTTCAAATCATGACCCCCGGGGGTAGGCTGGGGCCAAAATGGCCGATCAAAGTTTTACATAGGAATATATAGGAAAAATCTTTAAAAATCTTCTCAAGAACCACTAGTCCAGGAAAGATGAAACTCATGTGGAATCATCCTCAGGTAGTGTAAATTCAAGTTTGTTCAAATCATGACCCTCGGGGGTAGGGTGGGGCCAAAATGGACGATCAGATTTTTACATAGGAATATGTAGGAAAAATCTTTAAAAATCTTCTCAAGTACCACTGGGCCAGGAAAGATGAAACTCACGTGGAATCGTCCTCAGGTAGTGTAGATTCAAGTTTGTTCAAATTATGACCCCGGGGGGTAGGGTGGGGCCAAAATGGCCGATCAAAATTTTACATAGGAATATATAGGAAAAAATCTTTAAAAATCTTCTTTTCAAGAACCACTAGCCCAGGAAAGATGAAACTCATGTGGAATCATCCTCAGGTAGTGTAGATTCAAGTTTGTTCAAATCATGACCCCCAGGGGTAGGGTGGGACCAAAAGGCTAATAAAAGTTTTACATTGGAATATAAAGGGAAACCTTTTAAAATATTCATTTCAAGTACATCAAATCGATGCTTAGTGATATTTATAGCTATAGGGAATCATCGTCAGGTAGTGTAGATTTTTAGTTTGTTCAAATCATGGCCCCCTAGGGGGTTAAAGTTCAAGCCCCCCCCCCCCCTAGTAAATTTTCAGTTCTGATCTGATATGTACTTTTTCCAATTGCTCAGGTGAGCGATGTGGCCCCCGGGCCTCTTGTTATTGATTCACAACTTTCACTTCAAACTGTCGAAAGAACAGTTGATATATAACTATTTTTATTGACTTAGGTCAGTCTCGGTCAAGTTTCGAACTCAGTACATTCTGATCACATCTTTTATTTCAAGAAAATACTTATATGTTTTTTTCTAATTATATTTTTTCCTCTTACACCGGCGATATAATAATATTCTTATTCAAAACATTAAGGCCGTGCCTGGTTGGGTGGTACGGATAAAACACAGGAAAACACCTGGATTTGGAAACACTCAGGGTTACCATTGCGATTCACAAACTGGAACAAGGGGGAACCTAATGATGATAAAGAAAACGAAGATTGCATGGAAATACTTTCCCGAAATGGCATGTGGAATGATATGCCGTGTTCTTATTTGTCTATGTTTGTCTGTGAAAAAGAATTTTAATATACGAATGTATGTGGGAAGAAAAGAACACTTTACATTTTTCTAAAAAAGGAATGTCTCAACATAATTTTCTGAAGAAAATGGATTCTTATAATTTTATAATCAAGAATATATTTGATTTTGAATGTTTACTCTAAAAGCTAACATGCCTCCTTATTTCTTTACTCAACACGAAAATGGTACATTGTACTAACAGGAGGTATGTAACTGTGAGATGGCTAGGAATTTCTTCAATTTCACGAGAATTTTTTTTAAACCTAAAAAGCGATTGGTACCCATTATCTAATAACTTTGCCTGTATGTTTTTAAAAGGTTATTTTTTCTGATGACTTCTTTCAAATTTATGTTTATATTTTCCACAAAATAATCGTTTTCTTTAAAATACAAAATCTTTTACAAAAATTGTCCACGTCTCTCCATTAATCTGAACAGTTGAATTTTGCACAAGGAAATAAATATAATCATAGTTCAGATATTCGTTTATTTTTAAGTTCAAAAAGGAAATATAAAATGATTATAATGATTTATACTGATTGATTGTATGCTATATTATCTCCCATTAAAAAAGTTTTCGACCAGGTACATGTAGAGATGTCACCATAAGAAGGAGAAGGTATGCGAATTAAACTTTGATATTATGTATAAAACTAGAGCATTTTTAGGGGTACATACTGTTTCAGGGTACGTAAATACACATGTATTTTTAAATGTAGTTTTAATATCGAGCATCATTAATGAAAGAGTTATTCTACGAAACAATTGCCTTGAAGTGTACACGTATTTCAAATAAGTATTTGGTTATAAACTCATTTACAGAATTCATGGATTGATAATTGCAATGTGTGTGGAATGAAAAGAAAGAAGAGAAAAACATGTACAACAACTCAGAATATATCATATTAAATTTTTAAGTAGACGAAACTTTTAAAACTTTCAAATAAATAAATTTGTTTTCACTCAATTTGACTAAGGAAAAGAATTAAATTTTAAGAACTGCTTATTCCAATACTTATGCATTCCCTGATATAATATATTGAATTGTTTCTCATCAAATGATATTTATTTGAAAAATATATACTCATGTACACATTCAACGCTTCGAATAACAGTTTGTTTTTTTTTTTTAAAGAAAAATAATTTAATTTTATTTGTATTCTCGCCTCTCATTGGTTGATTTCCAAAAAGGAACGCATAACATTTTGTATAATCTGGTTTGGTATGGGGACACACCCCCTTGACGACCAGCTTAATCATCATATCCATGCAATCCCTTCATTTCCAGTCCTCGGAAACCATTGAAAATTCCAGATTTAATAAATGTACCTTCAACTATAAACAATTACTTGTTCCTACCTCATGTAAACAAACATCATGGCTGCTAGATCTATGTATCAGTTATTACCTCCCCTCGCTTCAAATCACTTCCGTTACTACGATTGTATTATTGCGCGGTAAATGTGAACTTATAAAAAGCAACACAATTTTACATCAAAAGTTGTTTAATTATTTTAAAATTAAATTATAAGTGTAACTTTTCTGGGTGTAGTGGTGGTCTTTGAATACTTTGTATTCTTTTACCACTCTATGGTTTACCCCGTTACAGAAATTATATGTGGGTCTCTTATTTCTGAAATTTACCCAACAACAAGAAAAAGGTAATAATTTTCTATAAATTTATTAAAAATCAATAAAAACAGCTAAAAAGTCAGGAATTCACTATAATTTGGGCAAAATCAACAAAAAGTAACAAAAATTGGGGAAAATGGGTATTTTCACCCCCAAAATGGGTAGACTTCACCTAATGTGGGAAAATCAAGGGACCCAAAACACTGGGTATTAAATGGCATCAGATTCACCCAACTTATAATATTCAGCACAAAATGTACTTATCAAAGTGGGATCATTACCATTCTTATGGGCGCTGCAGGCTCCATACCCGTGAGCAGTGCTGAGACTACTGGCGTTTTCTCTCTGATCCTTTATTATATACCCTTTCGTCGATAAGTGCGAACCGCATCACGCGCAACATATACGTAAGGTACCGTACGAGTTGGCGCCGTTTTTTTAGACACAGTACACAAAGTTAACAATCACACAAAAGTGGCGATTAGGTAATAATAAGGTGTTGCATATATTATATGCTATAATAGAGTTAAAGAAAGATGCCTGGGTAACATTTAGGTGAGTCTATTTTTTAGGGTATTCTTTGTTTATTGTATGGGCCATTGTGAATGGGTTCGTTTAATCGAGGAAATTCGGGATGTAATATAAACGTATAGTAAATACTCAATATAAGTCAATATATAAACAATACATTTTCGTGATATCATTTTCGTGACATCTAGGACACACAAAATAATTCATTTATATATTATTAAAGGAGTTTAAGGACAGGGACAAGACTTTCAACATGTGTAACACAGCTCCCCTTCCTTTTTAACATTCGTCCCGAATGTTGTGCAGGTAAGAACTCTTACGAAGTAATATGATTTGTTTTCATGGGATAATCACCATTTAAGAAAAACTAACTACTTTCTGAGTTCAACTACAACATTTTATGGGGTAACAAGCAATTAAACATAGTATTCATAATTATAACAATATTTCAACAGTATAACATTCGAATAATAATAATTTTAACATTAAAACATTCTGAGGTAGCATTGACACGTTACAAATATAACAAATAAATAAATAAATAAAGTTAATATATTAAAGTTCATCATTCATTATTCAAGTCTCTAGAATTTCACACTGGTCTTGGTAGGTCGGTCACTGTGATGGGACATATTTCAGTAATGGTTCCAGGTGTTTAGTGAGATTGTCTAATTCATAGAACACGCATTCTTGGTATAGTTCCTTTATAGCATAGAAACTAGCAGGCAGGATGAGGTCAGTAGCACAACATCCATTTCGTAGAAAGTCCAGAATGATGGGGAAATGCCTTGGGTTTCGATCAATGAATAACGTTTCAGATGTTTGGGATGATAAGGCAGCTAACAATGAGGAAGGATCTTCTTGTAAAGTTGACTTTGTGGTGGTAAACTTGGTGCCCCCAACATCCAACGTGATGATCTCTTTTTGCCTGGCTATCATGTCTTTTACTTTCAGCTCCTGTTTACTAGTCGGCTTGTATTGTGCGGCTGTCGTTTCTGGGACAGTATATTCCTGAGGAGGGTCAATGACGCCATCCGTCATGATCGAGAGTTGATCTGCTTTTTTGGAGACAATGGTGTCTTTATCATACGCTGACTTATGGGCGGAATTGGTAGAGGAGGAATCGGAATCTGTGGACATCGAGAGATCTTTATCAAGGCCGGTAGGGCGCGCATTTGCTTTTATGGAAGTGGACGTGGTGGTGATAACGGCGGTTGAGGTTTTGGTTTTGGAAGTGGTGCCTAAAGACATGGAGGAGGTTGAAGTCGGAGTAGTGGTCGTCGGTTCTCTGACTGTATAGTTAGTGCTTGCGTCGCCGGTAGGGGGACACAAAGGAAGATCCATCAAAGAAGGTAGTTTCTGCAAAGCTCTGTTGGGAGCTTGGCCGTAATACGTCTTCTTCTTTGGGATAACTGGATCAGTGAACTTTGTTCTTCTTTTGGAAGGCGCCAGGTTGGTGTTCCCGAGATTAGTTCTAGCGGGCTTTTGTAAGGGCTGACAAAATTTGGACCGGTTTTTCTGGAATGTTTGGAACTCCAGAGCTTCTTCTCCCGTGAAGGTGCCAGTGGCTCTCTTCACTATTTGGAATGTGTAACTCATACATCCGTGTTTTTGGTCGGTCCTCGCAAATACCAGGCTGCAGGAAGAACACTTATGTCCGAAACCTGAATGGGCAGAAGTGATATGTCTTTCACAATGACTAGGAAGGTTGAATTCTTTGTCACAAATGGTACAATTGTATTTTTGGATCTGTAATTTAAAAGAGGTAATCAAACTTTAAAGAGCATACAATGGATTGAGGAGTTGTAAGGCATAGGGGATTCAATCATCACTTAGGTAGTAAAGGGGGGGTTATCTCCCTTATATGGCTTTAATAAGTTATGATGGACGATTTTAGGTTTATGTTTAAGAGTTTTTCTGATTTTGTAAACAACATCATTTACTCTTTTAATAATTAGGTAGGGACCTACCCATGGTCTACATAACTTTTTGCCATGTTTCACATATTTTGGGGAATAGAACCAAACCGCATCACCCACTTGGTATAAGTGTTGGTGAACTTTTTTACTATATTCCCTAATCATATGTTTTGATGATAATTGGATTCGATTGCGGGCATGGTCATGAATAACTTCTAATTTGTTTGCCAATTGATTTGCAAATTCAGACCCGTATTTTTGTTTATGTATTTCAGGGTCTGGAGCGCCAAGAACAAGGTCAATGGGTAAGTGGATGGGTCTACCAAAGACCATTTCATTAGGGCTAACTCCTGTTGATTCATGAATAGATGACCTGTATGCCATCATGAGTAGGGGAATATAATCATCCCAATTTTGTTGGGTATCATTAACGAAAGTGGAGAGCATATTCTCTATAGTGCGATTTGCTCTCTCGATCATTCCATCCGATTGTGGCCTAAAGGGGGTAGTGCGGGTTTTTTCTATACCGAGTATATCACAGATTTCTTGAAATAGCCCAGACTCAAAGGATCTACCTTGGTCGGAATGCATTTCCATGGGTACCCCAAATATCGAGATAACTCTGTCAATAAGAATTTTAGCTACAGTTTGGGCTTTTTGATTTTTGATGGGGAAAGCATCAACCCATTTAGTGAAATAGTCCCCCACCACAAGAAGGTATGAATTCTTTTTCTTCGTGAGGGGAAGTGGACCCATTATATCTATGGCTAGTCTTTCCATGGGTGCTCCCACTATATATTTCTGAAGGGGTGCTTTGGGTAGCTTATGGGGGGACTTTCTCGATTCACATATGTCACATTTACTACAGAGGGTTTTAATGTCTTCAGACATATGATACCAGAAGTATCGGTCTCTGATTTTAGACAAAGTTTTACGGACACCCAAATGACCGCCAGTGACATTATTATGTAACTGTAGAAAGACAAAGTTTTTCAGGGATTGGAGTAGGACTATTTGATATTTTGGTTGGACATCTTCCCAAATATGGTAGAGTATGCCATGTAGATATTTTAGGGAATCATATCTCGCCCAATAATATTTATGGGCTTCAGAAAGGTGTGATATCTCTTCCCATTTAGGCCTCTCATCGGATTTTACCCATTCTATGATGGTCTGGAGGACAGGGTCTTGACTTTGTGATTGTTTAATATCGGTTATTTCCGCAGAGTGAGAATTTGGTTCAGGGCAGATATTTTGGTCAATATTTTGGGATCTGGTTTTGACAGAGAAACAGTGTAGGGCATTTGATTCAGTGTCATATCTGTTTTCCGCTTTATTGCAGTGTTTACAGTCGTCAGAACAAGGTCTCCTGGAGAGGGCATCAGCATTGCCGTGGGATTTCCCAGCTCTATGTTCTACTTTGAATTCATACTGGGACAGAAACTCAAACCAACGGGCAATTTGGCCTTCAGGATTTTTAAAGTTTAGGAGCCAGGTAAGTGATCCGTGGTCAGTCCTAACTTTAAAAGATCTGCCATACAAATAATGGTGAAAATTTTTAATGGATTTTACTATGGCCAAAAGCTCTCTGCGAGTAACACAGTATCGTCTTTCAGTGGCACTGAATGTTTTACTGTAATAGCAGATGACTTTTTCTTCACCATTTTGTTTTTGAGAAAGTACAGCTCCTAACCCATTATTAGAAGCGTCAGTATCGAGGATAAATAATCCTTCGTTGTTGGGATAGGACAGGATTGGAGAACTTGTTAGGGCTCTTTTGAGTTTATCAAATGCTTCCTGACAGTCTCCATCCCAATGAAACTCTTGTTTTGACTCTGTAAGTTTATGGAGGGGCCTGGCAATGTCGGAGAATTTGTAGACAAACTTCCTGTAATAAGAACATAGACCGAGAAAACTTCTAACATCTTTGACTGATAAAGGGGTTGGCCAATTTTGAACAGCTTCGATTTTGGAAGGGTCAGTGGCAATTCCCTTTTCATTCACTACATGTCCTAGGAAAGAAACTTGTTTCTGTAGCAGACAGCACTTTTTGGGGTTCATTTTAAGATTTGCTGATTTTAATCTACTGAAAACTTGTTTCAAATTTATAATATGTTCGTCAAAGGTTTTGGAAAGAATGATAGTATCATCCAAATAAACCATACATATTTTCCAGGACAAATTAGAGAGGACTTTTTCCATCAGTCTTTCAAAAGTGGCACCTGCGTTACACAGACCAAAGGGCATACTGAGGAATTGCCAATGACCCCCACCAGGTATTGAAAAAGCTGTTTTGGGTTTGTCATCATTGGACATTTTAACTTGCCAATAACCACTCTTCAGGTCAATGGTGGAAAACCATTTAGATCCGGCTAGGGCGTCTAAAGTGGTATCTATTCTGGGAATTGGGTAACTATCTTTAAGTGTCACGTCGTTTAATTTTCTGTAATCAATACAAAATCTAAGGGACCCGTCCTTTTTTTTAACTAGGACGATTGGGGAACTCCAAGGACTATTAGAGGTTTTTTTACTCCCTTATTTAACATATCTTCAATTTCTTTCTCCACTTCTCCCATTTTTGCTAATGGTATTCTTCTAGGGTGTTGTTTAATGGGGGGAGCATTCCCAGTATTGATTTTATGTTCAACTAGATCGGTAAGTCCCATGTCAGTAGAAGAGATAGAAAAACTTTTCTGAAATTCAATTAGAAGATTTTCCAATTCTTGCTTTTGTTCAATTGTAATTTCTTTTGAAACTTTTTCAACAATACATTGCAAGTGGTCAGGAAATCGTGAAGTGAGTTCAGGGCTAAGAGTATTAAGGGTATGGGTACTGTCATGGTCTTCCCATTTGTCTAGTACTTGGTCAACACAGTTGACTGTGGCGATATGGGTATTTTTAAAAAGTTTGATACTTTCATCTTTCAGATTCATGTAACGAATTGGGACCTCTTTGTTTACAATAATGAGGGTTTGGGGAATCATCAATTCATGTTTCTCCACAAAATCCGGGACGGGTTCTATGATTCCAACCGCGTCCTTGAAACGAGGATTTTCTACCCTTGCAGGGGCAATATATTCACAATGGGGAGGAATTTCAATATCCTCAGCAAGACTTATCTTGCTGCATGATACAACGTCTATGCAAGATTTACTAAAGCAGGGAATTTCTAGACCCTGTACCTTTAGTTTCATCTTTTTTTACATAAAGTTCACATGAATTCTTGGTCATAAAATCTAATCCCAATATGCATGGGGTTTGTATATCAGCCACAAGTACTTTATGGGTAACTTGAAAATTTTCAAGGGACATTTTGATTGGGCACTCTCCTTTAACTGGGATTGCATCACCACTTGCAGATGTAAGTTTGACAGATACTGGGGTAATTTGGGGTTTTTCTATTGGGTCTAAATTTTCATAGAATTGGGTACTGACAATGGACACACTAGCCCCTGTATCTACTAATAAATTTGTCTCTTTATTTCCTACTTTCCCAACCAGATAAATTCCGTCATTTCCCCTTTTTATATCTCCCACTAAAATCCCTTCGGGGGTAGGTGTATTATAATGAGGACTTTCTTTATCAGACTCAGTCCCTATTTTATTCTGAATGTTTTCTTTGTGTTTTAGTGGGAGGGGTGGAGCCATATTTAATGGCAAGTGTTGGGGCCTGCCCCTTGAACCTGTCGATTTCCGCCCCCCGAATTCGACGCTGGGAAGTTTCCCTGTTTTTGAGGCTGGAAAGGACTTTGTTTTGGGTTTTTGGGGTATTTGCTCCCATTGTTTGAATTTCCTTGTTTAGGTGAACCCTGGGGTTTAGGTCCATAATTTATTGGTTTGTTATTTGGGTAGTCGGGTCGGATGGGATTTTGGCACGAGTCCTTGTTTGAGTAATATGCACTGGGTGGCTGTACAAAATCATGGTTAGAGTTTCTAGTATTTCTTACTAGGGCTTTGATTTCCCGGGTAAGGGATCGCAGGTCATCCCTCAAATTTTGATTATCTTGTTTTAAAGAAGAAATAGGGTCAGACTCATTTATGACATGGACAGTTTTAGTTCTTTGTGCATCGGCCAATCTATAGGTTTCTAAACGAATGGCCAGAATTTCTGCCTCATTTATGTCTTTGGGTTTAGCTTCCCTTAACCTTAATCGCATTTCTGGGTCGGGCATGGCGTCGATAAATTGATCAAGGGCCAGAATGCTTATTATGGTCGGGTCAGCTGTGGGGTATGCTTGGCGAGTTAATTTTTTTATGGACTGTGCCAGTTCGGGTAAGGACTCATTGGTACCTCTAGATTTAGTTTTTAGTTGGGCCCGGAACATTTCGGATCTTTCAATGGAGCCATATCTCCTATTTAAAATTTTTACAAGGGAGTTAAAATCTCTTCTTTGATTTTCATTTAGTTCGCTCTGCAAGGCCCGGGCACTACCCGTTAGGCTACTGGCCAGGTACAGAGATTTAGTTTTATAATCCCACCCATGCAGGTCGACTAAGATCTCGAATTGGGCAAGGTACTCGCCAAAATCTTCTGAGCCATCAAATGTTTGAGGTTTTATAGTAATATGAGTCTTTGGTGTAAATGGGGATGGCATTCTGTTTTCATTTCTGTTTATCTCAGGCAAGGGAGTATAATGGGTACCTGACATTGTACCGGGGTTGTATTCCCTTTGCTCATAAACTGGATTTGATCGACTGCGGGGATGGAAATCATCGTAAGAATTGACCGAGTGAATGGGTCTAGGCGTAAAATTGGGAAAGTGATGATTGTCTCCCCTATCTTGCACAGGACTCTTAATTTCTTTTTCTAAATTGTCAACATGCTCTCTCAACTTTTGGTATTCATTTGTCATTCCCAACATTTGTTGATTTACATTGTGCAACATAGACATGATAGCATCTAATTGCTTTTCATTTACAGATTGGGTGATATCTGATGCCTTGGATGAAGAAGGAGGACTTGGGATGGCTGTAGCCACCTTGTCACTCTCCAAGCCGTTAGGTGAAGATGGACGGGACTTAAAAGTTACTTCAAAACTTTCTTCAGCTTCCATTTTGTACAAAAAGAATGGACACAATTTCAATAAAATAATGTATTGAATTAATAAAATTATACCTGAAAAAAATGTGTTGTTGTTGTTGTTTTTTTTTTTTTTTTTTAAATCTATTTCTTATTTATGGGTAAACAAAAATAAGACAAGAGATCCCACTTCTGACACCAGTTGTAACTTTTCTGGGTGTAGTGGTGGTCTTTGAATACTTTGTATTCTTTTACCACTCTATGGTTTACCCCGTTACAGAAATTATATGTGGGTCTCTTATTTCTGAAATTTACCCAACAACAAGAAAAAGGTAATAATTTTCTATAAATTTATTAAAAATCAATAAAAACAGCTAAAAAGTCAGGAATTCACTATAATTTGGGCAAAATCAACAAAAAGTAACAAAAATTGGGGAAAATGGGTATTTTCACCCCCAAAATGGGTAGACTTCACCTAATGTGGGAAAATCAAGGGACCCAAAACACTGGGTATTAAATGGCATCAGATTCACCCAACTTATAATATTCAGCACAAAATGTACTTATCAAAGTGGGATCATTACCATTCTTATGGGCGCTGCAGGCTCCATACCCGTGAGCAGTGCTGAGACTACTGGCGTTTGTCTCTCTGATCCTTTATTATATACCCTTTCGTCGATAAGTGCGAACCGCATCACGCGCAACATATACGTAAGGTACCGTACGAGTTGGCGCCGTTTTTTAGACACAGTACACAAAGTTAACAATCACACAAAAGTGGCGATTAGGTAATAATAAGGTGTTGCATATATTATATGCTATAATAGAGTTAAAGAAAGATGCCTGGGTAACATTTAGGTGAGTCTATTTTTTAGGGTATTCTTTGTTTATTGTATGGGCCATTGTGAATGGGTTCGTTTAATCGAGGAAATTCGGGATGTAATATAAACGTATAGTAAATACTCAATATAAGTCAATATATAAACAATACATTTTCGTGATATCATTTTCGTGACATCTAGGACACACAAAATAATTCATTTATATATTATTAAAGGAGTTTAAGGACAGGGACAAGACTTTCAACATGTGTAACATAAGGAATGACTCTAATTCTTGGCCAAATTATCGAGTATAATCTGGTTTGGGTCAGTTTACGCTTTTTTATAATCCGCTTCGCGGATTATAAAGCGTAAACTGACCCAAACCAGATTATACTCGATAATATGGCCAAGAATTAGAGTCATTCCTTAAATAAATCATGTGCCAAGACAATGTTGTACTCAATAGATAAAGGGACAACTAGTGAATTTATCTATTTTATCTTAAATTAAACAATCACATTATCATATTTAACCTATGAAAAAAAAATATTAATCTGCTTGAAAAAATGTTACAATGAGTACATGTAATTTAAATGTTTGATAAGCACTTGCAATTCGTTTACACTTATTATTAAATTCAAAAGATTTTCAATTAAAAAAAGTAATCATTTTAATCTTGCATTTTATAAATGATTTTGAGGCATGAAAATTTACTATACAGCAATCAATATATGAAGTCATAATTAAAACAATAAAATCAAAATTAAAAATGCTAAAAAATTTGAATGAAAGAATGTGAAAAAAAATTAAAAACTGAAAATACGCCTTCTGTTTGCAAAATCTAAATGGTTTGCATTTATATATTGTATCTATTAGATCGTTTCTTTTTCAAGAATAAAGTAATTATGGGCAGTATGTTCATTTTTAATTTCCTTTTCAACATTGCATCCAGCTCCCTTGCCATCTCCTTTCATGTAAATTTCATTTCCTTCATGATCAAACACCAACGTTCCATACCCCTCACAATGTACTGATGTCGAGGAATGCAGTCTAGCATGGTCGTAAACGTCATCTGTTTTTGTTGTCGATGTAGCTGATTCATTCAAATGGTTATATACACCGTCTTCTGTGGAGTGAGATGTAAAAGTATTCTGCTGTCTCGGAATGGGATTTACCTGAGAGATCTTTGTAGTTTTTGGCTGAAATATTACATTTTCATATGTGAAGTAAATGTACATATCTGTAAAAACACTACAAGAAATAAAAAAAAATGATAATGATATTAAAAATTTTGCATTTTGCTTTATAAAACTTGAAAAATATCATAACCTTGGGCGATGCAAAATTTAAGTCAGTGATTTTTAAAAGTGAAGATAAATCTTGAAATAACTATTACGTGTATTACGAATTGACTTTCCTCTAACATGTACATTCTAATTCTCCTTTGCCAACAAAGATTCTTTGATATGAACATATTTGGCATCAATATTAAATAATCTGAGCAAAAAATTGAAATAAAACAATCTTTTAAATTAAATGTTTTACCGTTTTGTTCATTGTATCCGATTGATCGTAGTCCTCGCTCTCGTACGCTGAATTTTGGTTACAATTCTGGGAGACATTGTCCTTCCTTAAATAAATAATTCAGCAAAGGTATCTTCAAGACCAAAAGTCAGTTATGAAGCTAAAAATATATTTGTTGAATTTAAAAATCATCTATTTACAAACGAATGCAACAATCAAATTAAAGCTTCTCTTTGTCAATCTACACTGAATACATTCTCATTACTATGCCTACAGCTGCTCTCATGCATCATGCTTTATTTCGATATTTACATTTTTAATGTTTTTCAATTTGTTCATAAAGTATATGGAAAGTTGTGACATTTAAAACACCATAACCAGAAATGGGGGTCGAATGGTCAAAGAATGTGTTTTAGTTAAAAACGCTGAAGGCCATAATTGTGCACTGTCATTAGCGAAAATCAAATTTCACGTTGTAATGGCTCTCCTCTTTTGTTATTTACCCGAAGGATACAACATGGATTTCGAACATTTAATCAGATTTGAAGTCATGGCAAGGAATTGACGCGCGTTTCGTAAGGGGAAGAAGGACCTTTAGCTGAAAAAATACCTGTCATTCAATTTTTTTCATATTTTGTATATCCCTAATTTAGTATGTCCCACATACATTAAAGCAGATTTATCAATAGGTTTCTAGACTTATTTCTGAGATATTGAGTGACAACTACTATGCCCCACAGTGTCTGTGTCAAACGTTTGATTCTCCATTATGGGCCCATTACTCAGTCCATAACGGATTTTTTCAACAGAAATAAAAAAATATATCAGCGAATATGTGTCTTTTAAAATATTTCAGAGTATGAATAGCGTTAAAAATTCGAAAAAGCAAGATTCGTCTGTCACACCGTATCTGGAAACGGAAAATTACGTACTTTTGAAGACAACTTAAACATTAAAAAATTAATTTGCAAAAAATCCTATCATTCAATTTTTGAAAATTTACGGTGAAATGCAAGTTTGTCATGGTATTGATTAACTGAAAAAAATATGGATTAGTGAAGCTGAGCTCAATATTGCACGGGGCATAGTTAAACGAGACATGATCATGAGAAAAACGTGTCATGTTTACATTTCTCGAGTACGGGAAAACCCAACTATGACGTCACAGATTTCTGAAAAAAGGGAAATAAGACATACCCACAGAATATTTCCGTCAACAACCATGTAAAAATATTTTTTGCGTTCTGTAATTCACAAAATACCCCACCATACACAGATCAAGACCCGTTTTATTTTTATTTTATAATGCCCATTTTCACCCTGTATGATCTTACTGTACTAAGAGATCCACTTGACGTCAACGACACGCTGGACGCGTAGTGTAGAGAAACAGAAGAATGAATTAATATATTTCGTAATTTGCTAATATTTGCAAGAAATTTTAAATGTTTTCAGATATTTTTATATTAAATGTTGAACGCAAACAAACAGTCAAATATTATACAAGTACTGTGGTTTCAATCTCGTTTTGGACATTATATAATTTTATCAGAGATTATGACGTAATTAAACTGAGTCATGTGACCATAAATCATTCGTCCCCTTGAATCATTATATCAATATTTCAAGTCAAGATCTAGTAAATGAAAGGTGACTACAGATTTATCGAACTTGAGAAATAAATTCCTTTATTGATGCTTTGCGACTTTAGCTTGGTCAAATAAGGTGTTTCGATGCATAATTTGTAGACATACAAGATGAAAAACTGTATTTTAAACTGTCATTTTCAATGAAAAAATAAGCAAACCAGTCATGAATATAAGAGTTTTTTTTCGTATTCGGCAAAGGAAATGTATCCAGGTTGCCTAGAGTCTCTCAGAAAACGGTAGTTAGTATGTTCATGGCCTTTTCTTTAAATCAATATCAAATTTAATATAGGTATCCGGTTTACGTTTCATATGATTTCAAATTGAATGACATGAAAATACCCTTTTTTCTCCATAATTCTGCTAAAGCCGTAAAGTACGGGAAAAAGAAAGTTTAAATTGATTATGACGTCATAATGGATCTAGCACCAAAAAATTAGTCTCAAGTTATTTACTAGATCTTGACCTTAAATAATGAATTAAATTTTTGGTAAGAAATATGAAAAGCAGTACTTTTCCAGTTCCTTCTTTGTCTTTTGCCAACGATAAATAAAGACACAGGATGCAACGATAAATCCAAGCAACACTCCACCGAACATTGCACCGACCAAAACTCCAACTGAGAAACCTGCATTTCATACATTTATCTCATCAATATATTATGACTAATTTTAAATGGGGATAATGTTAAATACATTTTTTATCTAAGAATATGCAATACCTTTAATCTCAAAATAACTGAATCATTACATGCAATGCATTGATTAGGAATATGATATATTCAGCTATTGGTAGCTTTAATGCACTGGTGGTACTAAGTTCTTTTTCAAACTGTGTTTTTTTATTATTATTTTTTTGTTGTTAAAATGTGAAGTGAAAAATGTTTTATGAAAAGAAGGTAGAATATGCAATAAATCCTGCTATTTCTAAATAACCCACAATAATAAACCGCAGAGATTGCTTGTCTATTCTGGTATATAAGCATCTTGTACTGACACATTGTGATATGTAAAACAAAAAATTCAAAATTCAAAATTTACTAATATACATGATTTGATAGCAAAAAGTTCAAACTTAAAATAAATAATTTACCTTGACCTCCCTCTATCTCTACGGAATTAGAAACAGAATCGTTATCTAAATGGAGAAATTATATTTATTATCCTATAAAATATTTCTAATATCTAATCATTATTTATTGCTTTACTTTAACATGCAGTTTCTAATATTTGTGAGAAAAATAGCCTCAAGCCACATGAAGGTCGAACTCCAATGACGCAGTTTTAGTAAACTTGGTTGGCAAAGTAAACTTTATTTACCTTGAAACCTGAATACACTATAATAATTCTATGCATATTTCAAACAATATTATACCAGTACATATTATTTTCTATACTCTTTTCCTTATTTAAGTACTCGGAATCGAAATTGCATAATTAAATGTTTTAAACATTTTTTCTACTTCATTTCATCATATTTGGCCAACATTTTTTCTATAAGCTCTGAGCTATTAGAACCTACCAACTGCAGCAGCATAGGCTTCCCATCATGGTTAATTAGCGGGTATCATTTCAAATTATTTGTCCCTTTTTCTCCCTCAATTTTATAATTTATACATTAACACATATTCTAAGTCTTTATTCGCGTTCTGCAGTGGTTCGTGCGTCTACTCTAGAGTCGAGAAGTTGATCCTTATTAGGTCGCAGGTTCGAATCCCACAGTGGGTCTCGAGATCGGTCCTATGCACCGAGGTCCCGTTTCTTAGTAGGTTGCAACAATCACTATGGCACTTGAACATTTTATTTGTATTCCCGCGTTTTGTCCGTATGCCCATTATACCCACAGGTTCTTGCAAAAGAGCTAAGCCGACCAGAACAATTGAGGCCTGGTCAATCCCGAAAGAGAAGCGTAGCTGCAGACACTTTTCTGATTTTGAAGCAGCTAGTATTTCTATATCGCTATATAAAATTTATCTTGGCATTTGCACGGAGACAGGTCCGCGGTAAGTATAAATTTACTTATGATATTCGCTTTGTATATAGTTTTTTAGGCAAATTCATTATTGAAAACAATTTCAATCTTATGACTGACATGACAAACTACATGAAACTTACATGACACACATCCTGACAATTAACTGAAGAAGGGAAATTTGCTCGAACATCCTATTTGTGATTACGTGAGAGGGGTGATGGTGGTGGTGCTTCTTCTTCTAGTACCATTTTTTTTAATTCAAACACTACATTTCCCTTTCAATAACCTTATTTAACAATACTGTAAGCAAAAGTGACCTTGGGGACTTTCAATGAACATTTTACTGCATGTGTATATAGTAAAAATTATAAATAGCAGCCTCCTTGCCCCCCCCCACCCCTCCCATACTGCGTGCCTACGTAAGTGTTTTGACCTTGTCAGCATACAATTTGTTAATGAGTCATATACAGACTGACGTTTTTCATACCAATTGTTAGTCCATTATTTATACATTGATTTGAAATCAGATTTTTCCGTTATGCTCCGATTATGACAAGAAGCACGGGGGTGTGGCCGATATGCAGGGGATGCCACATAAAATATATAATTTGATGAACAGGACACAAAGAAAATGTTTTTAATTCATCTAAGTTCAGATCACTTTTAGTTTTTAATAACTTAAAACACAATTTTTCACAACTTTAGTCCAAATATGCAGTTTAACAATTGTAAAGGAAGAAGAATTTGTGCTGTTTGAGATGGCCTCTGTTTATAACAGTCTTTTTGATGAAGATTGGCTTAAAAAGGCATGTTTTTGTTCTTTTATACTTAATTTTTTAAAGAATTTGTTTTCCGATTACAAAGTGCCGATTTCATTATCTTATAGATATATTGCATTTTATAGTACTCCTATATTATATATGGGTGTTGTCTTAGTAATCTTTTAAAGATTTTTTTTATTCACATCTAAAGATACTTATTTAATTATTTGTGTTAAAATTAATGACGATTTTCTAGAAAACTGAATTATTTCAATCATACTATAATATTCTGTCCAGAGGTGGATAGCTTATTCATGCATTGCTGGTAATTTCATCTCACATGTTATGTTAGGATGTGGTGAACTCTAAAATAAGTCAATAAAAAAGAACCTGTATACTTTAACTGACACTTACACGGAGGATTACTCGTTTGACACGAAGAATTCTTTTCTGGAAAAGTTGAACATTGTCGTTGACACAGCTTAGCAATATCTATATGACAAGTAAGAAAAGCACATATTAAATCAATTGAAAACCAATAACATGATGAATTAAATCGTTTAAGATAATAGTTCATCCCCGGGTTAAGGTGGAAGTGGGTAGCCTAATGTTGAATTTCCTTGTACTTCCTATATTACTATTTCTTCATTAAGATCAGTTATGTTAGTTTAAGAGTTATAATGTAAGACATGCACTTTAATTGCATTTTAATTAAGCATAAATGCATTACAATTTGTATCGGTAACGACCCAATGACAGAAAAATAATGCTCAAATAACTGTATCTCATCTTAGATGTAAATTGCCATGTAGTGTATGTATTTTTACTTGCAACAAATGTGCAAAGATGACTGATACTAGATCAATCCTTAGATAAAATGATGACTGACGTTTTTTATATTACATGTGCATATTATTGTTATACCATTATTTGCACTCTTAAATTTCCACGGGCATTCCATTTTCCCGATCGCGATCATGTCATGAAGCGCATTGGTGGATGTGGCCGATCAACAGGAGAGACAAAATATACATATACATGTAGTTCCACAGTTAAAAAATATGGCATCAGAACCACAAATTGAACACAAAATTAAGTAAGAGAAATACGACTTTGGGCCTTGACGAAAAATTTGATATAGGTAATATTTTCATATGAGAAACCCGACATCAGTTGAAGATCAAAAAGTAAAAAGGAGGTACACGATAGCATTACGTAATAAAGAATCTGAGTGAGAATCTCATTAAAGAGTTCGATTCACTTTATGCATAAAATGCCCAGTAGATATACCAATTGATTGATTTACACTTGATTTTCTATTTGAGACACTTAAATGAAATAGAGACTTAGTGCTTTCATTTTCTATTAAAAATTTTCTCCCAAGAGTCCAGGTCTTGGAGAAATGGCTTTATGAACTTGCCATGTTGTTGAATTTTTAGGAAAACAGGTATAATTGAGTACTTTCAGTGAAGAAAAATAGTATCAGCTCACTCTTTGATATAAAAAATAAAACATGCCTTTTAATCCTTAGAAATAGTTCTATCATTTAGTAGTTGCATATTTTAGATCAGAGGTTGTGCTCTTTATTAAATATCGAAAAGCAGCTTCAAGAATTGGCCGTTCTTTTTTTACTTTTTCAGAATATGAGGAAATTGACGCATTTTGTGACGTCATAAGGCATTGACTAGATAGAAATGATTTTTATAGATACGCAATCACCAAACATATAAGTGTTATTCAATGCATTGTTAACTAAAACTAAGCAGTTTCAGTTTTTCAGAAATTTACAGGGCCAAATAAGGCAAAAGTGAACCTTGTCCTTTTATTTAGTGGTATAGGAGGAGTTGGGAATAAGAGTACCGTTCAATACCGTTCACTATTAGAGAAAGACGAACAGACGGACAGACATCCCGATCACTATATACCCTTCAACTTTTCAATCAGGGAGGGGGGTTAAAAATAAACTGAAAAATATTTATTAAAATACAGGTGCTGAAAATATTTCAATTGCTCAGCTTTTTAAGTATTTTAACCAAAATGGGTATTATTTTACTATAACTATGTTAATGTTTTAGTTTATGATTTACATGTAATACCCATGACGACTTGAATCTTTCCAGATCTGAATATTTCTAATATTAATTAATGTTTCTACTCTACCTCCCGTATAGACACAATAGCTACAGGTACGAAACGAGGAGGAACAACCTGAAAATATCAAAATAATTACGAAATGACATATTGTGTTCAACACAACATTATACACGTGAAATATAGATTTATTAGGTGTCATTTTTTCCCTTCTCAATTTATACTTACCACTGCATTTAAATACTAAAGTAACTGCTCCACATTGATTTAGGTAACCACAAAAAACCAAGAATAAAGCTGCAAGAAATCAAAACTAATGGTAACAAAAAAAATTATTTACTTACTAGTATTTACATTAATAAGTATTTATTAATAACCCTGTCATCATAAATTAAAACCCAAAAAAAGTTATTTTCCACCTTATGAGATGAAAATATTACTACAGTATCTTAAATATTAGAAGTACTGGTATCAAAATCTCTACTACAATTGTCAAGGATTGTAATAAAATTCCTTGTCATCTGTGTTGACCTTTTCTACCAATTCTTTTACTGTCTGTTTTGTCCAAAATATACGAGTCTATTTGTTTGCTTGTATTAAAGGATTGATGTAGTATATTGAAATTCCAAATTCTTTCAAATTCACAAAACGTCTATGAAGTACACATTTTTCATTGTGTATAAATAAACTATATCAGTCTCTATCGGTATGCCATACTGGACAAAGATATTGACAATGACGTCTTTTAGGAAAGTTTGTTTTCCTTATATTGGAGTGTACTGCTTGGTTTTGTGACATGTTTTGAATATTGCATATCTTACGATTATCCCAATTAAACCTTTTATTCAAAAATGAACTTCTGACAGGCTTTCCTAACCGTATTAGAGCAGGATGGACATTCTACATGAACGAGCACAATTTAAAGAATGATTTTATTTTTCTCAAAAGATACACATATTTCCATGTATATAATTAGCCTTTGATCACTTTACATTCCTTTCCAAACTCCATGCATGACAATGATAAATACTCCAGTAGTTATTCAATACAAATAATATGTCCTTCATAAGAATCCTTAAAACACAAATATACATAGCAGATTCCAGTAAATGTTCAAATAAGCCTCTTTCTTTACTCCTCACTCAGATATTTATAGAAGGGAGGAAATATTTCAAGAGTACTGTGCAACAATATATTCAAGAAGTGGTGTAAATAAGATGTGAATTGTTTGATTGAATTCAAACATTACAAGATTTCACAACAATCAACAGCTTAAGAACTTACGACTTTAAACTGTATGCACAACCATCACTCACGACAAATTAAAGTTCAGGATTTTAGATATCATTCACACCTGCTTTTCAATAAAAATGGAACTCGTAAATTCACTTATCTTGTTATTGGTCATTTGCAAAATTATTTTGTTAAAAATATTCTGATTGTACACAGAAGTACTCTGAAGCTGACATAAAAAGGTACTTTCAAGTTTTGATTGACAATATTTATGTTGTTCTTGGAGACCAGGTCTCACACAAATCTATTGGAATTCCCTTGGGTACCATTGCGCCCCGTTATAAGCAGACCTTTTTTTGTATTCATACATTGTATGAAGCAGAATTTGTGCAAATCTTATGCGTGAAAAGAAACACTTGCTCTAAGATTCAATTCGACCTTTATATATATCGACGACGTATTTTCAATTAACATTTTAATGGTAATTTCCATTCTTATGTTGATACGATATATCCTGGTGAGCTTGATATAAAAGATACCACAGAGTCTAATACATATGTTTCATATTTGGATATTTTATTTGACAAAGACGTTAATGGTAATCTAACAACCAAACTCTAACTAAATATAAACGTGATGACTTTAACTTTTCCATTGTCAACTTTCCTTACCTATGCAGTAATAAACCTTCATCACTACATCAGATATTTATATATCTCAGTTGATTCGATACGCAAGAGCATGCTCTACGCATGAACAATTTCTAAAATGATGTAAATAATTGACAAAAGAAGTTGATGAATGAAGAGTTTCAGAAGTTTCGTTTAAAGTCATCATTTCGATACAATGACCTTGTCAGCAAATGCTGACTGACGTTTTTCATACTAATTGTTAGTCAATTATTTATACACTGACATGACGACGGAATTTACCTTATTTTACAATTATGAGAAAGAGCACACTGCGGGTGTGCCCGGTCGGTCGGTCGGTCAGCAGGCTCACTCCTCCATGGCACATGATCCCACATCCGATGTTTTAGAGGTTCATGGTTCGTCTTGTCCTATTTTGTAATGTTTTATGGACTTTTGATCTTGAATACTGTTCGTTTTCTCCCCCCCCCCTCCTATGTTTCCTTAGATATTCAATATCTCAATGTCCAAACTACCTTTTAAAATATTTTTATTAAACCGTATCCTATGAAACATTTAAAATGGCTGCATACTTATGAGGCTCTGACTAACATTTTGACATTAAATGTTTTAAAAGCTGTGTAAAAAGTAACCTACCTACTATTTTGCCATGCCTCGACATTGCATTACTTCCCCAATGTTAAAATTTGTTGTCTTTTTTTTTCTTTTTACGTTTTATATTAACAATAATTGTTAAGCTATTCCAACTCTTCCTTTTCCTATTGATACAAAAATTTATTTCCTTATTGTTTGTTTGACGCAAACAAAACTGACTAAGAGATCTTTTTTTTTTTTTTTTTTTTTTTTTTTTTTTTTTTACAATTTTCTCTAACAGCTACCTAGTTCTGTAAATCATACTAAAATATGTTTTCCTCTGTTCCTTACTGTTATGCTATTTTGCTTCAAGTGTAAGACTTTAATTTTTCCTAGGAGCGCATGCTTGTTTGACAACCATATTTACATATTTCATATATACATGTATTTGATAAGATATACACAGTTCATGCTCAGTTCGACAATCTCTTATTAATCTTAAATGTCAAAAGAACTGGGAGACATAAAGATACTGCTTAAATTAGAGAAGTTGATATAGAAAAGTTTAAATGACCTTGTTTATCATAAAGTTGATTATAAAGTTCTGTTCTTAGTTCTTCATTAATGTCTTTTCTACAGTCGAGTATGAGTGTACGGTTTATCGCGATTCCCCAGTTGATTCGATACTCAACATGTTTCCCGATCGATTCGATACCAACGTTCCATACCATATGTATAAATGCACCATATATATAACTAAAAGATTCGAAAATCCAGATCAACTATATATACTCGTACTATTTACTTAATGTACAGGACAATCTCTTATTAATCTTAAATGTATGTAATAATTAGACTGTAGCCTAGATGTATATTTCTAAAATTAAAAATCATCATTTATAATGAAAGTCATCAGACATATAACGAGTATAGAACCGTGTATATGTATGTATTTTATAAAGCAAACATAAATATTTATCACTTTTCAGGAACATTGTTTTTCAATTAATGATAACGGAATAATAATAATATTTTCAGACATTTTGTTTGGTCAAAAACGCATTTCAGTAAACATAATTTTTATCATCATTGACTTGTCAATGTATAAAAAGAGGAAAATATATTTTTCATATTATTATAAATAAGCCTAGTGCCTATTTGAAAAAAGAAGACATTAATTGAAAATCAGTAATAAGTTTTTTCGGTGATTTCTGTGCATAATTACAGTCCTTTAAGCCAAAGAAAATTACGTATATACTCTACCTTTCAATATTTTGTTTCTTAGTGCAAAGTTAGCATAATTTTGTGATTGTGGGATTGTTAACAAAATGTTAACATTGATAAATGAAAATTCATCAAATATAGAAGTTGAATTACATTTCTGCTTTTCAAGGTGGTGTGTATTTGTTCACATAAGCTGAATACTTTCTTCTTGTATATCACTGATTATAGAGGATATAAAATGGGATATGTTTCAAACCGGTGTTTAATGACTAAAAGAAAGGACGTTCACAAACAAGTGAACAGGTCGATAAACTCGATCGAGAAAATACGAGAAACAGAACTCTATATATAACCTTAACCATTTCTATAAATTATGATCTCTGTTTAATGATTATTGATAACGATATAACAACAACATACCCAGTCAATAACATTAAATTTCAATAATAAATATGAAAAATTGCAATTCAGGGAGTTCAATTTGACAAATCTAGCAGAGAAAAACACCACTTGCAGTTGGGAGGATGAAAATTTGGATCTATAAGTATTAGTTACCCTCATATAATGTTGTTGGTTATGTGAAGATACCTGATGGGCGTGGTCATAATAAAACGAGGGATGCGATCCCTTGTGTCCTTATTACCAGGTCCATCGAGCATTGGGAAGGTACTTGTATACTATACTTTACAAAAAGTAAACATATCTCAGTCAATTTAAGAAGTTTGACTGAATTGTGTTATTAAAAAATTAATGAGTTTGGTTTCAGTGAGACATGTTAATCTAATATGAATTGCGTTAATTACAAAGGTAAAAATCAAATTATTTTAATCCTTTATGGACTCATTTATTTTTTCTTAACCTAGTAGTATCTACTATCTCGTGCACAGTAGTACATGGGGTTTCCTTGTTGTTGTTTGTCTTTTTTCATTTTTTATTGAAATGATTTAATTGTTGATTGAAATGGTTGTTAAGGATTATGCATATTTCAATTTAATTAAAATTAGATCTTTGATCCGCTAGATCCACAATCTAAAGTTTATAATTATTTATGTACAGAAGTATACGTTTTTTTTATGTATCTTGTTTTCTCGTTGGTTATCAAAAAATGATATTGAAATCCGCAAAGGTAATGTCACCATAGCCATGACACTTTAAAAAATGCTAAAAAAAATCAAGCAATTGCTGAAGTTTTTTCCCATTTGTTAATGACAGTCAAGCGTTTTTAATGAATGATTATAACATAGTGCTATCTACAATAAATAATTTTTACCTTCTTTTATTCGGTATAACTACAAGTAGCCCGGATATTTGTTACATTTAAAAAATTGTGCATGGTTTAAAAATTCTTTTGTTCAGACCCGACGGGCGCATTTATAGAAAAGTGTAAATTGTGTACATATAACACAATTTTAACAAAAGAGATCACAACTATGGTATAAACGGCACCTATCGCCTTTTGGCAGTGAGGGGTCGTTTTAGAGCCAGCGCCTACTACATGTACGACTTGGGATCTCAACCTCAGATCACAGATGTTATATTCATGTGCTGCAGTGAGACTAAAATGCAGATATAAAAAGCATCGAGGACACCTAAATGGTTCAGAT